AGCTGTGGCACATAAAAACGTGAACACATGAAAGAAAGCAGTGAAATGACAATGAAAATATGTGAACAAGTAAAAGAAAACGATAAAATCACAGTTAAACCACAATATCACATGAAAGCAAATCTATAAAAATTGTTTTTGGAAAGTTATATAAAAGAAGCACATGCTTATTTAAAAGAATAATCATGTGCTGTGTAAACTTTGGGAGTTTTTTCCTCTGCACCTTTAATGCCTTTAAGACCACTTGACCGTCAATACACAGACACTAATGACAGACTCATATTATTTTGTTCTTACTTTTATTTGCAAAGCAATTTTCTTAGTTAGTGGGTCAGGTATAAAAGCAATTATGCTAAGCTAACTTTAAGCCCCTGTTAAACAAAGCTTTGCACTGCGCGCTATTCAAAATCACACTTAGCAGGACAGTAATAGCATAATAGCACAATTAAAGTCATTATAAACCAGACTTAAAAGTCAGCAAATTTTGCAGACATGAACAAAATAAAAACAGTCGTGATGCTGACTTGTCACTAGTTGATAACTTCAAAAATAGTTTTCAGACAAACCAGATACATTCATTATATTTACCTCTGCCAAGCAGGTTGTGTTTTCACCCCTGCCTGTTTGTTGGTTAGTTGGTTTGTTTGTAAGCAAGATTACACAAAAACAACAGAAATAATTTCCCTGAAACTTGGTGGAAGGATGTTTTATAATTTAGGGAAGAACCCATTAAATTTGCTCCAGGATTTTTTTTTTTTTACTCTGTTAATATTGCGAGATTTAGTTTTTGGGTTTTTTTTTGGTTTTTTTACACTTTCACTAATTTTCCAGGGAATAAGTCATTGATCGGTATATTTAATGAACTGATATTCATGAGTATGAGCAGTTTGTTCAATTTAAGGGACAGTTGGGCCTTGCTGGACATATGTACCTCTACTGAGTGCCATTCTAGTTCTTAAAGAAATGTATCAATATGTTCAAAGTCCACTAAATATGAAGCTACAGCCAGGATATGTTTAGCTTAGCTTTAGCTTAGCATAAAGGTTATAGGGGGGACAGCTCAATCGTGCTCTAAAGCTTGTTAATTAAGCCGTGTTAAGGAATTGTGTCGCGGGCTATGAGAGATGGATCTGTCTTCTCCTCTCTCTCTGAATTAGTGTATTTCCCAAAATTTCAAACCATTTCTTGAAAAATAGTACAACTTAAATTCCTCACTGAATCAGCATAAATCCAAGTTCACATTTACTCTATGACCAATAACTGGAGCTGACCAGACAACGGATATTCTTAAGCATTGTTTTTTTACTTCCTCTTCAGTGGTAACATTCTCTCTCACAGTAACAAGTTTGTTTGAAGATGAAACATTCATGTCCTTGTTAAACAATGACAATAGAAGGCAAGAAGTGCCTGTAGAGGAAGATTTAAAAGTGGAATAAAATGACACAATCATCTTATTGTAAAATCCCCAGCTGATCTGTTCCTGCTAAAACACTGGATGGTAGCTGGTGGCATCGTTTTATATTTTTAGAATATGTCTGTTTAAGAAAGGCTTGTCGGCTAGACTCACTCGGATTCTGCTGGTAATATTCCTGTTATGTTCCTGGTGTAGTGACTCATTCTTATTTCCCGATCGTCTTTTTTGTCAGTAGTTCATGAGTCAGATACCATTGCACACCATCCAGCTATGCTGTCTCATACCAGAGTGCTTTCACATGGCTGCATCTTTAGTTACAACTAAATCAGTGGTACAAAGTTCCTCCTAGGCAGTGATATCATTGCGTTGGTGATTTACCAAACTGCCACACTTTTGCTGCACTGTGCCAACCTGAAGATTATTTGAGACGACCATTGCTGCCAGAAGATATTTTATTACCCAATATTTTACACTTGACACTTACAGTCAGCCAGGCCCAGCTGTTTCCTTCATCAGCAGCCTAAATGTGGCATAAGCAGACATGAAATAAAGCTGATTTTACATTACGGATCATGATATGCACCAACGCAGTCGGTGTATATCAAGAATTCGTGGAAATGAACTGACACAAAAATGTTTTATCAGTGCTAAACTTGCAACATTTGCTTGGCAGAGGGCTTATAACTGCCTACAACAGATCTTCAAACTTCTGTCATATTTCACACCTTAACGTGTCCACTGCACTAAATGAATGTGTGCCCGTGACATTTGCAAGCATTGAGGTTGAAAGTTAAGTCAACATTAGTGAGCGTTAAACTGTTTGCTGTTCCTTTAACCTCCTGCTTTCAATGCCGGTTCTAATTTTAGGCAGTGGGCTAAAATTATTCCTGCTGTTCCCAGAGATTATCTATCAGTGTAGTCTGCGGTCTCCACCTCTGAGCTCCAGCTATCATCTGACTCTTTACTGTCCATCTCCTTGAGGAAATGGAATTGAACTGAGGGTGAAGGATCTTAAAGTTTTCACACAATAGAAATATATGCGTATTGATTATTGTAGTCATGATAAAAAATATTTTTTACAAATCATAGCACTGGAAATTTACTGCTCCATATTTATGATCAGATTTGTTTATACTCATCAAAGTGACCATCTTGTCATTACACAATAGGGCGTGTTCTCTCTTCATGTAATTCACTATCTTTGCTTACAGCTTTGATAGTGTCAAAACATGTCAGTGTCTTTTTACGCTGGTTCACCACAGTCACCTTCACAGTGTACAATCTTTACATCATTACTTGTCTCTTTATCAGACCTCTGCAGCTGTGTTATTACTGTCAACGCCACTGTTTAGGAAGATTTTTCAGGTGACCCTTACACATGTTGATGTAGCTGTCCTCCAGGAAAGCAGACATGACGTGCACAAGGTGGTGAAACCTGTAGTGACTTTGTGAAGAGTAAAAAATTTCGAATTTTAGATCTGTTTTTTCACATTAATAATAAAAATTTCAGAACCTTATCTTTTATTATTAATTAGAAAAAGTGGAAAATGGCCATCAACATTTCCCAGGCCTGAAGGTGACATATTTACACATACAAACATATTCCCACAATGTTAAATGCTTAAATATATTAGATTTATGGTGATATAAATCAGATGCATGACGTCAATCGATGACATCACATTTTTATTAAAAAAATACTGAAATTAAATATCACTTGGCCTAGTGATTGTTGACATATTCTCTCATGTCGTCCATAAAAATGTAAAAACTAATGATATTTTATTTCAAAAGCTGATTGTTGCATAAGAAATTGGAACCAAATTATGATTTTTGTTTAATTAATGGCTTAAGTGTTAATGAGTTATTAACTAAATATTTTCGCTCTATATTCAACAACTACTGCTTCAATAAAATTTTGATAGCGTGACTTTGGCTAAGGGGCTTGGATGATGTAGTTGATGAGTTATATAAAGTACATACAGACAACCAACAGAACAGCCTTTGATTCAAGACCAGAATGAGGACTAGTTAGTATAGAAATGATAGTTAATTGAGAAAAACATCATCAATATCCTACAGCAGGGTTAACTGGTTGTCATAGAAGCCGGTCCCTCTGCTCTCAGAGGACGTTCTCATGCTCTAAACACAGCTGAAGTTAACACACACTCACACACACTAGATGCCTCGATCACCTAGGGCCAGAATCAGAGCCTGGGGGATTTTCAGCGTTGCTCAGTGACCTGTTGTGACCACCTGTTTCTTTAGCATTCACTCACCTTCCCCCTCATGTTTTTCTTTCAGTAACCACCTCTCCCCTGTCCACTGCAGACCAGATGTGGTGAAGTAAGTGGACTTTCCTACCATCTTCACGTTTTATTTAGAGAAAAAGTCTGAAATTATACCTCATGTGACACTGTTAATTTATTTTATGTTTTATTTATAGTTTCCTGGACAAGACCATACGATCAACAGTAGAGCAGCACCTCTTTGACGTGAACCCTTTGCGGGATCAAAGTTCAAAGGAGTGTGAATTGACATCTCCAAAAGTGACGCCAACTGCTCGACAGAGACGTCGACACCAGAGAGAGCAGCAGGAGGAAGGACTCAGACAACGAGAGAGAAACGGGTACGATGGTGGCATCGTCATGAAGTTAGCGGTTGATATACCTGCATGAAATTAGTGGTGGGTTGTCTTAAAAGCATACTGACAAAAACCATGTTCACATGGGTTTATTTTTATCTGTCTTTAAAGTCTTACTTCATTTCAAAGTGAAAAAAGTAAAGAAATCTGCTGTAAATCATAATCAAATTTAAATAGAAAAAGTATTTCTATTGGAAAAAGTATATTTTGTAGCACAGCACCAATATACTTTATATACCAAAGTACAAAAACACATTATTTCACATGATCTAAAAAAACACATAAAAGGGGAACTTTCCACTTTACACACCAAAGTCTCATTACTGGTTCTAGTGGCTTGAGGCTGGTGTGTTATGCGAGCATACCCAATTCTTTGGCGAAAATGTCAGTAGACGCATTGTGGGTAATATATGCATTAAGGTTTTGGCAAGGATTAAAAATGTGTGTAAAAGGAAGTTTTATTTTGGAGGAGTCCAAGTGGCATTACTGTTTCCTGTGTGTTAGACAGCAGTTCAATGTGCTTGTTACAAAGAAGAAGAAGAGTTGATTGATTGATTTATTTTAAGAAACTATGATTAAACAGGCACGTTACACAAAAAATAATTTAAAAAAATAAATAGAGAAAAGAGCCAAACTGCCACTCCACAAAAACTGGTGCATACAGATGATTATCATCTTCGATGTCTCACACACACACACA